AGTGTCTTGTTTTTATTTTCCTTGCTAATAATGGTAACAGGAACAACAATTTTGCTTTCAAATAAACTGCCCCATTATATTTTTTCAAGTAATGTTGTATATTTTAAAAGTTGATAAATAGAATAAAACAGGATGTGAATCATCGTGGCATAACAAAGCGAATATCTTTATGTACCATTTATTACTAAATTTAACTCTTATCATGTGTGTTGTGAAATAATGCTGAGCATTGTTCAGGGAATCTCCAAATGCCCATATCTGAAGAATGAAGTAATCAGTAATCATAACAGATGCTATGATTGCTTGTGAAAATATTAATCCACACTGAAAAACATATATTTATCAAGCAAGCAAAATCTATATTTATATCTATCTATTTTCAGTATGTTTTCTGTAATAGCAAGTTAGCAACATTTAAAGGTAAAGTTAAGTCCAGTCACGAATGACTCTGGGGTTGTGGCGCTCATCTTGCTTTACTGGCCAAGGGAGCCAACGTTTGTCTGCCGAGAGTTTTCCGGGCCATGTGGCCAGCATGACTAAGCTGCTTCTGGTGAAACCAGAGCAGTGCATGGAAACGCAATTTACCTTTCCGCCAGAGCGGTACCTATTTATCTACTTGCACTTTGACGTGCTTTTGAACTGCTAGGTTCGCAGGAGCTGGGACAGAGCAACGAGAGCTCACCCCATCGTGGGGATTCAAACTGCTGACCTTCCGATCGGCAAGCCCTAGGCTCAGTGGTTTAGACCACAGTGCCACCTGCGTCCCTTCAAAGGCTGTATGTACAAGTGTCTTTGCCAGTCCCTTCCCAAAAACCTCTCTTTTGCAGATAAGCAAGGGATTGCAGAGGGAAGATGGAGCAGAAAAGATTTATGGATCTAAGCCATAATCTAAAGAAAAATAGAAAGCTAAGTTATATAATAGTGTGTATATTAAGATTCATATTGTGATTGCATATTGTTAAACTTTCAGTGATTCCACCATTTCAGAATCTCAAGCTTAAAAAAATATTCTTATAAAGCAAGTGCTATTGAAATGAATGTGTACCTACCATAGAATACAAGAATGAGAGAATACCATACTACAAAATGCACATCGTGCGCATTGCTGGATCATTAGAGAGAACACCTCCCAAAGGTGAGTGCCTGTAGTTAGCTCCCAAGGACTTTAATACACAGGGCATTGTCAAGTCCTAGCTTGTTCCAGATTCTAAGGCAGTCTATTAACATTAAACAGATTTTGTTCATAGTCACAGTAACTGTAATTTTTGCATAGCCTAATGATGGTACTCACAGATCTGCTAGCACAGATCTGGAAAGGCAACACCAGAAACAAGGATACTAGTGCTCTATGACTAGCATAAACCTCATGGGAATGGGGTCTTTCTTTCACAGTATGAAAAAAACTTTTAAATGATGAATGAATAAAAGCATCTGATCTTCTGCTGCACTACTGTAGGGAAGATCTAAGTCTGAATAATAGCTAACCAGCAAATGTGTTAGTTCAAATGACTCTTGCATGTAGCACAATTCAACATTTCTTCTCATGCTAACTGATTTATCTTCCAATGTGTTATTTAACAGTTGTGTGCTTTTTCAGGGGGGCGGGGAGAGACACCATTAAGAAGCACATCATTTAATGCCCACACATGCATTCTCCATAGTGGCTGTAAATTATTTGGAGATATGTATGCATGATGCTGGCATCCATCTGTCTCAAGAGACAATAGAGTATGCTTCTGGGGGTAAAGTCAAGCTGCTGCGTCAATAGCACTGAAGTGACCTTCCTGGGGCACAAGCCTGGGCAGTGTGTATGGAGGTCTTGTGTTGCCCATACAAGAGGACACCCCCCCCTTCAGCCTTGCTGATGTGTTCCAAAGGAAAGCAGAGCAATATTTTTGGCATCAATGTGCCTTATTAACTGTTTGACCCACAATTAATCTCATATGCTCAATCCGCCAGAACCTGTCTTTGCATGCAAGGGAACTCCCAAACTTACCAAGAGTTTGACTCCCATTGGCTACCCTCACCTAGTTTAGTCAGCCAGTCAAAGCCATTCCCAGGGGTGTGGCCACTGTCGCATGCTGACTGCTTCTAGGAGCCAGAGGTGAGAGCTAAGTGCAGGGTGGGGACCAGTGGTGGACGAACTACGCAGAAGCATGACATGTCCCCCCAACAGAGGTACTACACCTCCCCTAACACCCTGGACATTCTGACCAAAGGTCATTCTGTCAAAAGAGTCTAGCTAAAATGGATTAAAAGAATATCTAAAAATGACCACATAAGGTCATCTTTTATTCCCTTTAACAAATTTGTGCTTCAGTTTATAGCTATATATAAAATTTTACACTGAGGTGGAAGTTCTCCATGGCTTATATTTTCCATTACCAATCTCATTTGCAAAATATTGTATTGTTCGTGCATACTTTTACCTCTAGTTTATGCGTTATTTATTATCTAAGTCTAGGAAAATAAGTGAACAAAAGTCATTCTTACAAAATATTATAGCACCTGAGAACCATTACGGTGTGTACACAAACACACACTTTGCAGAAGTAGCCAAAGATTGTAAATCTTTTTCTCTTCTTGTTTGGAATGTTGAGGTGCTGGGATTTCCTCTGCTCGCTCCACCCCCACCCCCCCGATGCACACACCTCTTCTAGACTTTTCTCTCTCTCCCTCCACCTTCTCCCTCTCTCCTCTTGTGATGTGTGTGTGTGTGTTGAAGAGTGAGGTAACACCTATCTTATAATAGAGTGGAATGTAGCTGGCTCCAAAAGCAGAACTCGGAAAACTTCCCATTTTGCACATGAATATTTGCTTTCTTTTACTCTCTCTCTCTTTTCAAAAGTATGGTACAGCTATGGAGCCATTGGGTATGTTCTGCATTTCTTTATTAATTTCTTATTATTTTTTTAAATTATTTATTGTACAATTATTTATTGTACAATAATTTATTGCGGGGTCCCAATTTGGGGGGACCTCACGAAGAGTCGGACTTGACTAAACGACTAAACAACAATGGGCCCTTTAGAGTTGGGGCTTTCACTGTGCAAGCATCTCTGGCTGTGTGTCTGCTTTCTGCTGCAAAGCACAATGGGATCTGGATTGTGTGGGTTGCTCTAACGCTACACTAATTCATCTGAGGGAAAGGGATTTTATTTTCATACAGCAGAGGTTGGTTCTTTCACACAGAGGTCTTGACTGATGAACACTCATCACACATAATTTATCAAATTCATGGCATGCAGGTTTGCATTAATCTTTTGCAACAGTCCCCACTTTTAATTTAAGTGTTCATCATATTATTAATTTGCCTTTGACATCAGTTTCATGTGATCCCCACACTAGCCCTCCTCTGGTGTCACAGCCATGAAAGGGCAACATAGAGAAAAGGGCTGTAGGGGCCTATCCCTGTCATCAAATGGCTCACTCTGGATTCCCCCTGTCCTTGTATAACTTCTGTCTGCAGCAAGGGACATTTTGTATCTGTGGAGGCTTCTTATTCAGAGAATGCTGTAAGACTTAATTACAGGAGTAGAAAAAGTTTCCAACTGCAGACGTTACACAGGAAACACAGGAAAGCTGGCATAAACCAAGCAACATGGGCAGAGCTTTTCTACAATTGTTGCCCCTTCATGACTTCAACACCTAAATAAGCAGGCCCAGGCCCAGAAAATTTGCTGCCTGATGTGAAGGACAAGATGGCACCCACCCACTCCACATGCAGAAACTGACTAGACTGGAAGTTGAATCTTATTTTGATGCTGGCAATCAGATAGCATCCTTTACCAAACCCGAGGCTGCAGACGATCTTAGGGGCGCCAGGACAGCCCATGTGGCAACAGAGAGGAATGCCTAGGGAGCTCTGCAGGATAGGCCAGGGGCTACTGCTGCCACTTCCCAGCATTCTGCCACTGCAGACAGTTGCCTCACTTTGGCTAATGATAGGGCCAGTCCTGTGAATATAAATACTGTATTACTACTACTACTACTACTATTATTATTACTACTATTAAAATTTGTATACTGCCTTTCATCCAAAGATCACAGGGTGATCTACAACATACAAATATGTCTATAGCACATCCATAGTGTTCTACAAGTGGGTTTAAGTTTAGAAAGTCATATTTTTTTTTCATACTTTAGTTTAAGGCCACTGACACCAATAAGAAGAAACTGGTTGTCAGGTAATGTCCTTCAAAGTTTTCCAGTTATATGATGAAGTATGGACAAAAAGGCATTTCCCTGGAAGTCTCTTTCATACAAAGGAGTGGGAAAGATGTTATTCTTCACTTGACACTTCAATCAAAATGTATTACTGAAGCATTTTGGACTTCTTTTGTGTACAACTGTGTGCTATCCAGCCTTCAAATAATTTTCTGATGTGGTTGTAAAAGCTCTATTCCGTTTTAATTAAGCTGCCCTTACAGAGCTCTCTTACAGATGACTGTATTGGTTCTTTGGCGAGAGGCTGAAGGCTTGTCTTTCAGTCCTGGCCAAGTTCTTTCACAATAAAAATTTTTAAAAAGTGGCAGAGTTAGTTCACTAGCTTCTACTTGCCAAGCTGGAGGTTGGTAGATAGATGGAACCATCTATTTTTCTTCTTGAAACTATCTCAGGCTTACTACGTCTTCTTAAAATTTAAACTCATCATTCATTTGCTTGCATTCAAGAAACTATGCTATGTTCCTGGGAGATGTGTGCATATGGTAAAGGTAAAGATAAAGAGACCCCTGACCATTAGGTCCAGTTGTGGACAACTCTAGGGTTGCAGTGCTCATATCGCTTTACTGGCCGAGGGAGCTGGCGTACAACTTCCAGGTCATGTGGCCAGCATGACTAAGCCGCTTCTGGCGAACCAGAGCAGCACATGGAAACACCGTTTACCTTCCTGCTGGAGCGGTACCTATTTATCTACTTGCACTTTGATGTGCTTTTGAACTGCTAGGTTGGCAGGAGCAGGGACCGAGCAACGGGAGCTCACCCCATTGTGGGGATTCGAACCGCCAACCTTCTGATCGGCAAGCCCTAGGCTCGGTGGTTTAGACCACAGCACCACCTGCATCCCATGAAATATTTTGGGAGAGATGACAGTATTCCCAGGAGTCATCCTTACTTATGGTTCAGCAACTGGACTGTTCATTGGAGTAGGTAGTCATTGCCTCCCTCTGATTCTATAGATCACAGAAATAAAAGGCTGTAATGTTCAACTCTTCCCTGTGAGTACCAAGTATATCCTGAGCAAAGTGAAGAGTATCCATTTCCATCACGATCCTTGACTTTTCTGCTGAAAAAGAATACAAGAATATAGTAAGCCTATTTAAAAGTTCTGTAAATGTTATTGCTAGGTACACACAATTCTTATGAATGATGGGAGGGGGAGAAAGAAATGTTGGTGAAAAGTGCAGTGTATTTAAAGCACAATTAGGCATGGGGGTGTGAGAGAAGAACTGTATATAAGAAATCACGTGCCCAGTTTCGATTTTCTCATCACTGTGGTAGTCAACAGAAATTGGGATATTTTTGAAATTTGTGTGGAGAAATGAGGCAAATCTTGGAGTCTTTATGTTCTGGGCCTGGAGTTTTGTACATACAGGCCTTGCTGGATCCTTTTTTTTTTTAAAGGCGTATTTATTTCTTTATTTGATTTCTTACCTGGCTTTCACCACAGGGCCTAGGGTGGGTTACAACACTATAAGAAGAAAAGATTGAAATCAGGTAAAACAAAATGATGAATAGGGTGGGTCCTAAAAATATATTGCTCAGCTATCAGAGGCTAAAGAGATGAGGAAGGAGGATAAACAAGAGGTGTGTTTTTGACAAGGCATAGGTGATCCTTTAAAAATCCAGGATCCTCCAAGTGCAGCATAGATTTTACTTTTACTTAGGCCCTCAGCCTGCCAGTAAATTCTTCCCTGTTCAGTTTCCCCCTAGTGCCATTCCCTATTCCCCATAGCAACGTGCAAATGAAATGTCCATTGACTCCTTCGGTGCAATTATTAAAGAGGGCTTTTTGGGGGGGGGGAGGCCAGCACGCCTAACAGCGCACGAGAGAGCCATCTTACCTGCCCCACCGCCATGGAGATGCTATGGGGAAACTCCACCCTTTCCCCTCCAGTGCTGTCAGGGACCTTAGTCCTGAGCCCCAAGCACTTACTGGGAACTTGACATCCGACCCCCAACCGCCTGCTACCTTTGCTGGCAAACGCCTCCCCGCCTCGCCAACGCTCGCCTATGCGGGACCTTCCCAGCAGCGGGAAAGCGCCTGGCGCGCGCGCGCGAGAAAAGGGGAAAACATATATATCTGAGATTCCCCTTTAACTGCCTGAGCAGCCGCGAGGGAAAACAAATGCCGCCTTCGCGTCTCGCACCCTGCATAACCTCCCCAGCCCTGCACAGAGCAAAAAAATAAATAAACCAACCCAGCGGCCGCTGTTCGCCGCCGCCTCCGCCGCGGCTGCCGCTCTGGCTTTAAAGCTGCTGCTGCTGCTCTCGCTGTTTGCAGGCAGCCGGCGGCCGGGCGCGCCTGTGCACGGTACCCCTGCGCGCGCGCCACTGAGCCCGGGGATTGGCTCGCGCCCCCCATTCAGGAGCTCGTGCAACCTGGTGGTTGTGCCGCCCGCCGCTAGGCTGGATTCAGAGAGCAGCTGCCACTGAGCTGCTTGGGTGGCTAAGCTCGCAGGCAGGCAGGCAGGCAGGCAGGCAAGGCAGGCAGCCTTCCTCCCTCGGCTCTCCCCGGCGCCGGTGGAGGCACGAGCCCGGCGACAGGAGAGACGCTTTGGCCGCTCGGGATATCGCGCCTTTTTCCCCCTCAGGAGGGGCCTCCCCTCCCTCAGTGAAGGAATCCGCCAGGGCTCTGCTGGCGAAGTTACCTCACGGAGATGGTGTGAGGAGCTCCGGCTGCTCAACCTGCTGCTGCTGCCGCCGCCGCCGCCGCTGGTAAACGCTCTTCACTTCTGTCGTGTAGTTGTCTGCATGCTTAAGGGGTTCTCCTAGCTCTGCATCGGCGCCTCAAACTGCAGCCCGCTCGCTCTTTCTCTTTCTCTCCCCCCCTACCGCCCCCCCCGGCTTTCTTTCGGTCTTCCCCTCCCTCCCCCCCCCCCTTTGCCTCCCGTAATTGCACGCGAGTGCCGTCGACAACTTCGGCTGCTTTTTCGCTGGCGAGGGGTTAGTCTCCTTGGATTCAGCACTTGGAGAGAGGTCATTAGTTGCCCGAGTTCCAGGAGGACTCGCTCTCTTGTCCCTGCTCTAGAAGTGCTGCTGCTGCTGCTTTCTCTGCCCATTAATTGTCATCTTTGGCTGTTGACATTTGTTGTGCTTCAATGGAGTTTCCATGTTGTTGGTTTGTGGGCTGTTTATTATTAGTGGGTGGTTTCTATTGAACGTTATGTTATTTATTTATTTGGTCTTCAAGGTTCCTTTTTTTTCCCACCCCCCCCCCCAACCACACATTTCAAGTGCAATTTTATTCCAGTTTTTGGGTAACGCGATAGATGAGAGAGGTGTCGTTTGACCCAGAAACTGCTTTGCAAAGGGGCACGTTGGTTGGAATAGTCAGAACTAAGAGCAAGAAAGCATTTGTATTCTATGTGTCATTTTTATTTTATTTCATTTTATAAATGTTGCTATGCATTACTGCTGCAGATTTCCAGGAGGCAATAAAGGACAAACACTGCTCATGTTGCTTGCAAAGACCATAAACGTGGACGTGCTTTAGTGCATCACATACTGTCCAGTGCTTGAGCTGTTGCTAAATTCCACTTAATATGCATTCCAAAATGTGGTGGGAGAGGGAGATTGCTAGTTTTGTACTACTCATACCTAAGTCCAGTGTATAGCATTTGCTGATATCACTCCTGGTAGACTTTACACTGTGTAGCAGCTTGATTTATTATCATCATGCCAATTGGTGTAGTGATATTTAGGTTAGCAAACCTGATGAAAGCAAATGGAGCTGTAAGGTGGCAGGCTTTTGATACCTTTGAATTATATCTCCTTTTAAGGTCTTCCTGTCAAGCATAGCTTTAAATTTTAGGACAAACAATCATAACATACGTTTAGAACCGATGCATAAGATATGGACTAACTATATTTATCAGTTCTGTTTTTTAACAAAGTTCATTATAGAAGGGAAATAGGTAAGCCAGTCAGCAGTGGCTATAGAAACATTCAGTCAGCAGTGGCTATAGAAACATTCAAGTTGCACTGTAAAACATACGTGATGCCAATGCTGCATGTAAAAAATAAGTCTAAATACAGCTTCAGGTTTTAGAGACACTCTGCTGAAATAATACTATATAAATTATACTTTGCCATGTTCAACTGCATGAGTTTAAAAATGAAGGTCTTCCATAAATGAAACTCCAGGAGTCACTATAGTGTTACATTAAAATATGACCTTATATAAAACTTTTCTAAAGGTCATGAATTTCAGAAGAGATAGTCAGGATAGTAAACAGTTAATTATTAATTTAATTTAAATCATATAATTCTTTTTTTGGTGGGGGGGGGGAGACTAATATCACAAATCACCTTGCACAAACTTTATCAGTTAACATTAACTTGGGATATTAGTTGTGTGTTTTTTCCAGCTACTGTTTATAAAGCAAAAATGTATTATTTACACTTTGTTCATATTAATTAATGATAATTTCATATTAACTGTAAGGATGCGAAACCAAATAAGACTGGCATGTTTTAGTTTTGAGTCTTTCAAAAGATGTCTTAAAAATTACTAATGTTATCAAACAACGTCAGTTTTCCTACCACTGACAAGGGTCATAGATGTCTTTCAAGCAGGCTTTGGCAAAATGCCAAAAAGAAAAAGTATTCACTTATATAAGTATGATATTCAAAGTAATTCAAGTTTTAAATATTGCTTTCCTTCTCAACTATTATATAACAGTGTGCAAAATCCAATAAAAATAAGCACTTTCTCCCTATTTATTTCAATGAGAATCTCATGCTTAAATCTCTCTCATTAAACTAAACTAAACTAAAATACTTAGTTTGGGCTGGTTTGTGACCATATGTTTTATCCTATGAATATGCATTACTTTAAATTATGCATTCTTTCAGTGTTCTTTGTCAAGTGATTTGGGGCATAATCTACTGGGAAGTGTTTATTGTGAATGCCATATTGAAATAAATGGGAGTTGCAGAATAGTGCTAACATGCTCTCACATAAGTCCTGTTCCTTTCAGTTGGACTTGCAGAAGAGAACTTCCCTGTAGATTGTGTGCCTGGTCACTGTTCTTATTAGGGTCACATGAATGCATTTGTTTGGCATTTAGTTGGACTGTTTTGGTATTTTGAATCAAGATGTTTGGTTTACAGAGTTTGTTATTACAAAGATATATTGGGTTGGATTCTTCTGTGTCTATAGCACAGCAAACTCCACCCATCCACCCATTTCTAGGTTTGCTATCCCCACCTGTGTGCACTGGTTATGATCAGGGAGTAAAATCTAGGCATTTCAGGCATTTGTCAGATGACTTTTTGGTTTCTTGGCATTTCTTGGTGCCAGAAATGACATTGTTGCACAAACACTATAGTTTTTTCTATTTGATTTAGTACCCAATATTTGTTGGGTACTAAATCAAATAGAAACAACTATAGACACTGGCATGGTAAGTGAATATGCAAATCAGTATTTTATTTCTTAGGTTAAAAAAGCAATGCATGAAATACCGATGTTCACACTTCACAGTTTAAAACACAAAAACCCACCATGACTTCATTTTGCTCATATGACTCAGAACTGTTATATAGTTGGATCACTATTTTTTATATAAAAAACCCTCTGTCATAACTTCTATGCTAAAACTAATAAGATTGTCTTTTTAGTTCATTAAAGTAACTTGAGTGTGATATGAACTTATATAAAGAGGACAATAGTGGCATGTGAAACAAATGGTTGACTCCCAAAATGAACCACTTGTGTCCTAAATCAGGGTGATGTATTTTCCTAAATGCATATGTACTGGACTAGTTGTTTTAAAAGAGTGAACTTCTAAAGAGACTAAAAATATAATGGAATATAACTGCAAATATTTGTTTTGCTCAACTTTATGGAATTAGAATCTTGTTACTACCAAAAAAAGACAAAAAGGACAAATGTTGCAAGGTAAGAGATGGATGCTAGTTTTATTTGCAAGAAGCACAACTTTCATCTTTTATATGTTGTGAAGGGAAGAATAGTTGGATGAGAATACTGTCACAAATGATCCCCCTTGCAGAATGACCTATGCTTTAAATCTCTGTACCCTCCTCCAGAAGTCAAATAGCTACATAGGAAGGCAGACAAAAGGTTCCTGCAGTTGTTGGGTCAGAGAGAGAATTACTACTGCTCCAGGAGTATTGATCTGAGGCGGCTGACAGTCAGATTTGTCTGTCGTCTTAGGACTCATGTTGTATTTGGAAAAGACTGGAGGTGTCTGAGCTGACATTGTAATAAGGTTTCTCCCCCCACCCCCGTTTTTAGAGTGATGGAGGCTAAACTAAGAGAGAATGACCTATATCCTAATCCTCAGCACATTTCTTAAAATTCAGTCTCATTAATATAACTGTGCTCTGTTCCAAGTTAGTGAGTGTGTTTAGGATCTCAGCCTTGGTGATATACTTCTAAGTAAATCTGTTCAGGATTCCTCTGTCAGTTTGTTCAAGCCCTTTTTTGCAAATTAAATGGAGAGTCACTAGAACGCAGTATTACCAGCCAGTTCCCACTGACCTTTGAAAAGTAATGGATATATATAGTAACTGCTAGAGGTGAATGTGATAATGTAATAATGTAACACAAGTATAGAATAATAATAAAAAACCTTCTTAACAATAATTTTACCCAGAAGTCAAGATTTATTCAAGTGTAAGGATTGTGGTAGTGAACATTTACAATTTAAAATTTACTGTGTAAATATAGCTGTCAAATTCTTTTTGGAAAAAAGCTTCCCCCCTCCCCACTTGTGTAATGCAAAGAGAAAAAGTAAAATAATACATAATTTATTTTATAAATTAATAGACAACTTTTTAATTCAAGTGCTTTGGGGTAGTTTACAAGTTAACCAACAGCATATTTACAGAATATGACAAGTGTTTGCTGTTAAACTAATGAGATCATTTCATGAATTGAGATGAAATGCAATTTTTCAGTCTAACTATGAGTGCCTCTTGTAAAATACTTGTTCTGGTATATATATATAGAAACCATTCTTACTTAGGACACAATGCACAGGGGGAATCAAGTTTTGGGGGGATCTTTTGTTCACATTGTTATGTTTCCACGGCAATTAACATCAACGCATCATTTGTTTTGATTTCTAACTGTGCAGAACAATTCACATATAGTAGATCTGAAAACAGTATATGTAGGAGGTAAGGTACTAAATGACTTTGTGCATGTATCAAGCTGTTTCAGTCATATAAAAGACTGTCTTTGTGCACCAGTGGTCTCTAGTCTTGTGGCACATTGTGCGTTTACTCTTGCAGTTCTTCTTTACATGGGGTTTCAAAACAGCATTCTTTAAAATGAAAGTGTAGCTGCAACATTGGTCTCATTTAATCCTCTAGAGGCATTTCTTAATATTATATTGTGGCCTCTTCTATTAGCTGATCTTTGTATAGTATTATTGGTCTTTGTTGGGAATTCCCAGTGTCACTAATGTTCAGATATGGTTGTTTTTGTTTTTGTAAATTCTCTTTCCTGACTTCCTCAATATTAGAAAACAGACTTTTTGGATAAACAGTGTATTGATTTCTTCATATAAAATCTCTTATATTGTTATCTATAGATTCTTTTTCACAGAAGAAGGCAATCTATATGTTAAAGTAATAAATTGCTTCCTTTAAGTTTTATCGAATGACATTAATAATGTAGTAATCATCCCCAAAAGGGGATACAATTTGACATCTCAACAGCAAATATAGCATGCAGTTAGGAGTTCCACTTTACTTCGAAGAGCTAGGAGATAACTCTTGGTGATTATTACATATAGCAAACATTGTCTTACGAAGCAAGTTCTCAGCTACATTTGG